TTACCTACAGTCCGAACATCATATATATACATACAGTCAGAACATCATACATGTACAACATACAGTCCAGACATCAAACATGTACATACAGTCCGAACATCATACATGTACATACAGTCCGGGCATCATACATGTATATACAGTCCGAACATCATACATGTACATACAGTCTGAACTTCATACATGTACATCAGTCCGAACATCATACATGTTCATACAGTCCGAACATCATACATCTACATACAGTCCGAACATCATACAAGTACATACAGTCTGAACATCATACATGTACATACAGTGTGAACATCATACATGTACACACAATCCGAACATCATACCCGAACATCATATCTTTGTATTACATCTTTGATAACGACTTTTAGCTGGCACTAGATAAATAACGACGTGACACATTTTTATGATATGTATACGATATCCCACTCCATATTTGATATAGTTTGATTCCGTAATACACGCTAAAGCTTGATAAACTTATAGTAAATGCTGTACACTTAAAAGAATTAACTCGTGTTGAAATATAACATGATTTTCACACTGTGAACCAGATAATTTGTGTTATCTTATATTTTGTCACAACTATTTAGTTTTTGAATGCTCGTTAATGTTCACATGTTTTGAGCAATATCATAGATAGGCGATAACAAACAAGAAAACTCTGCCATTTATCTCTATAAAAATGTTTTTCTTGTTTATTTTCATTTTTTTTAGCCGCTCTACCGTTAAAAGATATATCGAATGTCAGCTTTCAAACGTGAATATTTTATATGAATTTATTGATTTGAGAGGTTGAAATTTTCCGTCTGAATTTATTGATTTGAGAGGCTGAAATTTTCCGTCTGAATTTAATCTGATTTCGTATCACAATATTATACCAAAATAAGTTATCTCACTATCGATTGCATTATAATGATTTCCGTTAGAACATAGAGTAAAAAAACGGATTCTGATTTCTTAGTGTAAAGTTAGACGGATATTTATTTCATGAAATTCAATGCGATGTTGTGTCAGTGATAAAAGCTCTAGAAAATGTCATTGTACCGGAGTGTTTATGTCTTCTATAAGGTAAACTGTCAATAATATACACCTGTATACGGATGCTGTGTTAATTTGTTCTCTAGTAAATATATACAATCCGCAAATTATCCGGATATATCGTACCCGGCATTACAATGTACGGACATGTTATTAGTGTATTGAGTCACATTCCAATGTGCGCCGAGCTACCAACGGGGACGTGTCCCACATCTACACCTCGTCACTTCAAAGACTACAACCATATTCATACCTTGATGGAGCGGTAAGTACAAGGAAGTATCTCCCGTACTGAGGTTTTATAACAGTACCACCTTTTACATCAAATGTACATGTAAATAGAGTGTTTTTACTAAGAACACGTTCATTTTAATCGTTAAATATGTTGTAGCGGCTGTAGTAATGTTAGACGTACGGAAACCGAAAGAGGAAGTACAGGACGTCACCAATTTACTATATATGCATAACAGAGTAGGAAACGCATTGTTTGTACAGAAATACTACCGTCGGATACCATAATTTGAAGACTTTACGTATCCGCCGGCGTCATTTTCTGATTACATACAGAGCGGAAGTAATGGTAAAATTGGGCAAACCCTTGTTCTACATTGTTTAGGTATACATGTATGTAATGTGTCTGCGTGGATACATGCCTGAGTATGGAGGGTTGTCAGGGCTTGCCTTCTCCCATTTAAAACGCATTATCACATGGTGTCACTTAAAATGGTAAAAAGTTTTTATACGCCCGTCAAATTTGACGGAAGTGTTATGGTATGGGGTTGTCCGGCCGGCCGGCGTAAACTTTTGTTTGTCTGGCAATCTCCTCCTGCATTTTTCGACCGATCTCTTTGAAACTTAGTATACATAATAATCATGATAAGAAGTTGTGTCTCCATTAAAAGAATTTTGATTCGACAATTTTTCCAAAAGTAATTGCCCTTTGTTCATTTCGGTTTTTGATTTTTTGTCCGGAGAGCTCCTCCTACAATTTTTGACGGATTTCTTTTAATCTTCCTAGGCTAAATAATCATGATATGTTGTGTTTACTTAAAAAGAATTTTGATACATGTACAACAATTTTTGCAAAAGTTATTGCCCTTTGTTTATTTCAGTATTTGATTTTTATCCGGCAATCTTCTACATTTTTCAACGGATCTCTTTGAAACTTGGTATATATTATAATCATGATATGAAGTTGTGTCTCCATTAATAGAATTTTGATTCAACAAGTTTTGCAAAGGTTCTTGCTCTTTGTTCATTTCAGTATTTGATTTTTTGTCCGGAGATTTTATCCTACATTTGTTTTGCATGTCAGCTAACCACTCTTAGAATGATGCAGATCTTATTTCAGTGTAAGAAAGCATATAACACTATATGTCATTCGACGGGGGTATATTGTTCCGCCCCGCGGTACTCTTGTTAAATGATATGACCTTATCGGAACTCAATTGTTCGAACACAATTATGTGTATTTTGAATATATATTATATCTCTGCCAGTATAAGTAGCTTTAACGTTGAAATTTACTTTTTTTTACATGTTCGTAATAAACGATTTGTCGGGCGGTAAATGTCTATTTTTAAGAGGCAAATTAGACACACACAAAATTTGAAACATACATTTTAAGACATTTAATGGAACATAAAAACCAATACAACTTTTTCCTAAATAAGACTGAAGGAGGACAGGAGTCCTGGTAAAACTATGAGCAGTATTCTTAGGGTTACTTAACATGTTTACTTTGATGAAAAGAAAAAACAAACATCCATGAATTTCCGTAGCTTTCTTCGCTCGGCTTTTTATAAAATCACCCACATATATACATTGAATATAAGTTTTCACAGCGAAGTGCAAATTTCCCGCTAATCTAAATATGCTATCCACTCCCTCTATTGGGGAATATGTAAGTTTGCACAGTTTCGTTTGAACGCATTACGATTGAAAGAAGATAACTTCGGAAATATGTCCAAGTCCTGATGAACAATATTAGGAGTAACAAGATACACAGTTTTCATGTATACGTTTCGAAGTCTGAACAATTAGGCACCTATATCGTACAACGGGAGGTAACTCGTTGCACATTACCCTTTCCTATTTGAAATGTAACATTCGTGTACATGTGTATACAATTATTACGTCGCCTATACACATATCAAGTGAAATATCGGATAAATATTTGATATTGTTGTTATTATTGAGACAGCTGCCGATCGGATATTCGCTCTGAGAAATACCACACATACAATATTTTGATGTCCAAAAGTACGATCATAATTCTTTCATATCTTAAGTCAAGTTTGTTTTTGTAGAAGCTGTTTTGTGAACCAATCTAAACAGAGCCAAGCATTTAGTCTACACTGTATAAGTCAAATGACGCAATAAATCACAAAACGTAATAGATATAAACTACGAATGCGTGCACTATATAAGGCGAATGTACAACATGTATTTATTATACGTATTTGAAGAGTTTGTGTCATTCATTTTGATTCAGAAAGATGGTGTATAGATCAGTAACATTTCGGCTGAAATTCACGATACCAGGCAAATGTAACTGATAAACATCGAGTTTATAATAATATTCAAGATACTTGTAACCAATACACATTTTGCATCACTTAAAGTTTGTGTCAAACCTATATTAATACTATATTATACTGTTCACGGAGCTTTCCGTCTTTTGTCTTCAGAAAAATGGATTGCATGCCTAAGGTTTATTTCTCTGCCAGGAAACAGTATATAAACGTTAACTAATCAAATTGTCAGAATTGGTTCACATGACATGTCGTGTGTCTACAAACAACTTTTCGGATGTAGTAACATGTACAATATCTTATTTCTATCTTACTTCTGAAAAAAGTGAGTTGCAAGTACGCAAACTTTTCTTTATGTACCGGCAAAGTCATGCCGATAATATTTCGTTATTTTCATACTTGCAGATACGGAACTAGCGTTTGAGTACGTATACAATGGCGGAAGGTGGTCCCCATGCAGACCCTCACTCTGAAGACAGCACACTACGAAACCTTTCGGACTCCAACATTCTCGAATGTCCGATCTGTCTTGAGCAGTTACGACAGCCGAAGTCTCTACCGTGTCGTCATTCTCTTTGTGAGGAATGTTTGAGTAGCTACATCGTCATTGAAGTGTTAGGGACGAGTGATACGGCGACTTCCTTTATCTGTCCGGTATGTAGGACCCTAACTCACCCCGTGGACAAAACAGAGGATAAAGAGAAATGGGCCCAGCAATTCCCGACCGACACCGTTGCCATAGAGATGATACAACTGAGAAACAGAACGACAGAGCCACGTTACTGCACGCCCTGTCAGAGGAGGAAGGGAACCATGGTACCTGCACAATTCTGGTGTAAAACTACTCAGTCATTGTTCTGTGAGTCTTGTAAAGTGGATTTCCATGATATGGTCCATGTGAGCTGTGATATCGTAGATATGAGGGNCAGGAACGTATGGATAAACGTATCAGAGAGATGAAAAAGGAAATCACAGATGACGTAATCACGGCGTACAAACAGGAAAGAGAAAATCTGAAGGTGTCCACACAGAAGTGTGAACGGCTGAAGGTCGCTATACAGAATACATTAGCGACGTCCGCTACAGCTCTACAGAGGAACGACCATATGGACACGATCCGGTGTTACCAGAAAGGTCAGACGGAGCTCGAGGCTTGTAAGGATCTAGTGAAAGAAATGCAGATGTCGATTTCAACTGTCAGTATTGAACATGATATCGATTCGGACGTGACAAGTCTGAACTTTGGTAAAATCTTTGTCCGAAAGCAGCGAAGAGATTTCCCAGGTGTCCCAACTCTCGTCAAACCTTTATCCCAATGTGAAGTAAAGGAAATAAGAAAGGTGAACATAAAATGTCCGTCTGACCAAGGTTATTGTGTAGCCCGTGGTGTTGTATACCTTCCTGACGGCAGAATTGTGGTGGGAAATAACAACAATCAGAAGATCAAGTTAATAAACGATGAGGGGAATGTTGTGGACGAGTTAAACTTGGATGGAGATCCGTGGGATCTGTGTATGGTGGATAACACCACTGTGGCGGCCGCTATAACGAGCCCGGGAGGTATACGTGTAGTGACTGTCACATCCTCCAAACTTACACTATCGTCTGTAATAAACAAAAACAAACAATATTACGGTATAACGTACAGAGATGATGAGTTTATCGTGAGTACAGGATCCGAGGTCTGCAGTGTTAAGAAAGACGGGACGACCAAGACGTTATATCGATATACTGGCAATGTACACGCGTTGTCACATGATTCCAAGGACGGACAGCTCTTTATCGCCCATTATACCAACAGTACTGGCAGAACGGCGATTGGTAAGTTGTCCACTGACAACAAGTACACGGACGTGTTGAAGGTTGGTGTAGTTAAGTATCCGTATGGAGTGGACGTCGACGTGGAAGGTAACGTCTATGTCTGTGGTAACGGCTCACACAACGTGGTACAGATGTCCGGGGACGGGACCAACGTCCGGGAACTGTTAACGGGAGCGGACGGTATCGCATGCCCGAGTGCAATATCTGTTTGTGGTGATAAACTGGTGGTAACAAACGGATCAGGTCAGAGGGATTCCATCCAAGTGTTTCAACTTGTATGACTTGCAGAGTCAATCGTACACAAGATCGACATTTGACATACTAGTGTATTCTTGATATATCATTAACAGAACTGTTCTTGTTTATTTAACAAAGTACATATTATCAACATATAAATCGGTAATTTCCTGCCTTTTGTTATAGATTCTTTTCTAATACCCATTATAATTATTTCAGTGCATGAAATAAATAATTTAAGTTATATCCTTATGAATATAAACCGGTAAAAAATGTAGATAACTATGTGTAGATCACTGACATTTGTGCTGTTGTTTGTTTAATCATATAGCGAACCAAATCCCTATCAGGCTTGAATACATTATATTATAGACACATATCAAGGTCTTTGGCATAAGTTAATGGTGTATTTTAAGGATCCCTGTCCCTGTTGCTTTTCATATACACAGTAACCTTCATTAACTTTATGTTGTATGAAACTGTAGCAGTTGTGTCAGGAAACATCCATTGATGACGTAGCTCAGTCGGTACGGGAGATTGTACTATAATCTGAAATCATCTGAAAACATACATATTTTAAGGTTATGTTATTACTTCAATTCTGTACACATTACAAGACGATACATAAAAGTATATTTCTTTTGAATTGTAACATTTCTAATCACGCGCCATGTTGTTCATTAGTAAACTGAGAACAAATCACTATGAATAGATAAGAGTTGAGAATAATTTATTTTTCTAAATAAAATTTACTCCGTTGCTCACCGCCTATTTTTTTCTGCTTGACTAGATTATTCACTAAAACAAAAACTTTATTTTTTTACAACAATTATGAAACAAGCAATTTCAACTTTTATTAATCACTCTTATTCTTCCGGATGTTAGCGCGCGGAAGGTACTAATGTTGGGGGAAACCGGAGTACCCGGCGAAACCCCACGTAATCGGGCAGGTGACCCCATACCTTTGCACGTCCTATCGGGGAAAATAAGCGGAAGGCTGAGTATGTATTCATTGCTGGAAATTATTCCAGGATTTGATTTGTTTGAAGTGAAAATCACAGATAGCTTCTTTAAAGGTAACCCTTGTAAACCTTAGCATTTCCAAGAACACATATTTTTTTGCTCATCATTGTGTTGGATAACATTTTTCTCCAAGCAGCCAAAACTCTGTGCATCCGAGCCAATCGATATTTTCACTGTGAATGTGACTTATGTGGTCAAGTAGTTTTAAAGTTATTCTTTATATAATGATTTAATACTGGCTTTTATAATCTCAAATCAAAACAATTTATCGTCATGCGAAGTCTTACTCTAATTACATCTACAACATTATGAATGTGAGTTTTCTTGTCAAGTTTGTTTTTAGTTATTTTACCCTGGTTTTTAAAATGTCTAATAAAAGCAATATAATGTCGCACGAAATATAGTTTTATATAAGTTACATGTACTGCATTATCAGATATTTTCTCATACAGAAATTTGTTATTATAATTATAATGATAATAAATAAGTCGAAGTTCATATATACCGCTTTATCACAACCTAGAGTAGCCTACAGACAGTGTAACATGAAAAAGTGACCAGCGTAGAAAACCTACCGGGGGTCCAAATTCCACGTAGAAATCTTATCCGGGCATCCGTAGAAAACTGGCCCATAACCGTTGGAAAATGACACGAAATCCGGGTCGGATTTCTACGAATATTTTTGTATTTGTACCATTTTATAAATTTGAAATTGTACCTATAATCTGGTCCATTCAAATCCAACATATGTAAAAACACGACTGTTCGCCCCAGAATGCTTAGTTTTATTGGAGGAAGTTCCAGGTGTAATACCACCAACAGCTTTATTGATATACAGCATTAATCACTCCGATAACAACGCTAACACCGCTAACACGTACCGATAACACCGATAACACGTACCGACAACACCGATAACACCGATAACACGTAAACAGATAACACCGTAAACCCGTAAACAGATAACACCGCTAACACGTAAACAGATAACACAGTAAACACGTAAACAGATAACACCGCTAACCCGTAAACAGATAACACCGCTAACCCGTAAACAGATAACACCGTAAACATGTTAACAGATAACACTGCTAACACGTAAACAGATAACACAGTAAACACATAAACAGATAACACCATAAACACGCAAACAGATTACACCATAAACACGTAAACAGATAACACCGCGAACACGTAAACAGATAACACCGCTTACAGGCGAACAGATAACACCGCTAACACGCAAACAGATAACACCGCTAACACGCAAACAGATAACATCGCTAACACGTAAACAGATAACACTGTAAACCCGTAAACAGATAACACCACTACCACGTAAACAGATAACACCGTAAACAGGTAAAAAGATAACACTGCTAACACGTAAACAGATAACACAATAAACACGTAAACAGATAACACCGCCAACACGTAAACAGATAACACCGCGAACACGTAAACAGATAACACCGCTTACAGGCAAACAGGTAACACCGCTAACACGTTAACAGATAACACTGTTAACACGTAAACAGATAACACCGCTTACAGGCGAACAGATAACACCGCTAACACGTTAACGGGTAACACCGCTAACACGTAAACAGATACCACCGCTAACGCGTAAACAGATAACACCGCTAACACGTTAAGAGATTACACAGCTAACACGTAAACAGATAACACGGCTAACACGTAAACAGATAACACGGCTAACACGTAAACAGATAACACTGTAAACCCGTAAACAGATAACACCACTACCACGTAAACAGATAACACCGCTATCACGTAAACAGATAACACCACACCGCTAACATGTAAACAGATAACACCGCTAACACGCTAACAGATAACACCGCTAACACGTTAAGATAACACCGCTAACACGTAAATAGATAACACCACTACTACGTAAACAGATAACACCGGAAACACGTACACAGATAACACCGCTAACACGAAAACAGATAACACCGTAAACACGTACACAGATAACACCGCTAACACGAAAACAGATAACACCGTAAACACGAAAACAGATAACACCGCTAACACGGTAACAGATAACACCGCTAACACGTTAAGAGATTACACAGCTAACACGTAAACAGATAACACGGCTAACACGTAAACAGATAACACGGCTAACACGTAAACAGATAACACGGCTAACACGTAAACAGATAACACGGCTAACACGTAAACAGATAACACAATAAACACGTAAACAGATAACACCACTAACACGCAAACAGATAATACCGCTAACACGTAAACAGATAATACAGTAAACACGTAAACAGATAACACCACTAACACGTTAACAGATAACACCACTAACACGCAAACAGATAATACCGCTAACACGTACACAGATATTACCGCTAACACGTGAACAGATAACACCGCTAACACGCAAACAGATAACACCGTAAACACGGACACAGATAACACCGCTAACACGAAAACAGATAACACCGCTAACACGCAAACAGATAACACCACTACTACGTAAACAGATAACACCGGAAACACGTACACAGATAACACCGCAAACACGTAAACAGATAACACCGCTAAAACGTAAACAGATAACATCGCTAACACGTAAACAGATAACACAATAAACACGTAAACAGATAACACCACTAACACGTAAACAGATAACACCACTAACACGCAAACAGATAACACCACTACTACGTAAACAGATAACACCGCTAACACGTAAACAGATAACACCATAAACACGTAAACAGATTACACCATAAACACGTAAACAGATAACACCGCTAACACGTTAACAG